CCCCGCTGGGGAGCCCTCGCCCTCCCACAGCGCCGCCTCTTCCCGCGACCTAGGTCTGCCTGTCGCACCCCGGCCCCTTCCCCCGTCCCCAGACTCAGGGTGGGGGCGGCAGAGGGGAGACGCCCAAGGTACTGACACCCCACGATTCAACTTCGCGGGTCCGGAAACAATCTGGAGAAGGAGGAGGCGAAGCTCGGCGCCAAGAGGCTGGGGTCTCGCAGGTCAGCCCTGAGTGGGCTTGGGGGCGTCGAGGGCGTAGGAATTCCGACTCCCAGGCCCGGGGTCCGGGTACCTCCTGTGTGCCGCGTCCCGACGCCTGCTTTCCGCCTGCTCCCGAAGAAGTTGGACAACAGGAGGGGGGCGGGAACGCGGGGGGCCGCTATAAATAGAGAGCGCTGGCAGGCGTGGGGGGGGGAATAGCCCACAGGGACTCCCGGGTCAGGCCCAAGCCCGGGAGGGCGCGGGGAGGGGCCGGGGACCCCCCAGAGGGCTCTGACTCGGGGGTAAACAGGCGCGGGGGGCGGGGTTAACCCTGCGGGGGTAGGGTAGGGGCTTGGGGAGGACTCTGTGTCCCGGGCGGGGACCCAAGAGACCCTGTGGCTTCGGCTCTAACCCCTCCCAGGCCGGCCCAGAAAAGAAGGGCGAGACCGGCTCAGACTGGCTAGGTCGCCATGCCCAGGCGACGGTGTCTTTCGTGGTGACTAGGTGCGTTTGCCATCCTGGACTGCCACACTGTTGCACACGGCGATGCACACGGCGATGCACCCAGCTTGTGCCCCTCAGGGGAAGGGCCCCTGGAATGGGATGGTTGTTGTTAAAGCTGAGGGAATTCAAAGTTGTCTCTAGCAAAAGGACACCAGATCGAATTTCCTCCTACCTGCCCCCCTTTGAACTGCCCCTTCCCAGGACCATCCCCCCCCACCCCCCCTTCAGCCTGGTTCCTGAGTTGCCATTTCGGGGGCTGGGCGCCAGGCCAGTTGGGAACAATGGCCAATGGAACTCGAGCTGCCAACTGCAACACCAGCACAGATGGCTCCCCAAAGACCCCCAAATTGCCCTCCCTGCTCCTGCTTGGGAACCACCCTCCCTCCACCACCCGCACCCCCCCCATCCAAGGAACATCAATGCCCCTTTCATCCCCACTTGGCAGGTCTATTGGAAAGGAGGAGAGGCCAAACGGGAGGAGGGGACCCACAGCAGAACTGTGTAGGCTCAAACCAAACCTCCAGCAGCCCTCAATCTAGGAGATTTTCCCTATCCCCAGTGTGGAGTACCCGAGTTTCCCTCTGTCCCCTTCTGATCCCTCCCTTCATAACTATTTTCCAAGAAGCTGGTGCAGGAGCTAAGTGCTCTGGCTCTCAGCCGAGCCCCTCACCTCTCTGGCTGTGGGTTTAGCACAAGGAAAAGCCTGCTGGAATTAGGGTAGTGGCTGGAGGTGCCTAGGATAGGAGAGACCAGCGGCCCTAGAAGAACTGGGGGGAGAAAGAGAACCCAGAGAGAACTTTCACCTGCTTGCTTCTTTGATGTGTCTAAAGCAGGCTTACTAGGAGTGGGGGAGGGAAAGACGTGAAGGTTCCAGCATCTAAATTCGTCTCTGGGTCAGGATGACTCAGGGGGAACCTGATAAGGGGCCTACGCAGGGGCTTGGGGCAGGCAGGAGGTGGGAAATTTCCACTGAGATCTATTTGCTTCCTAGGCCTGGGGGTCCCCTCAGCCTGGTGCACACTGAAGCAAAGCTAATTCTGCCTTAGAAAAGGATTCTTTTCTGTTAGGGCAGCTCTGAGCAAGACCTGGGTGTAAGTGTCCCAGTAAGGACAATGAGTCCCCACCATCCTCACACTCTAGCACACATATACATACACTTTCTCAGAGCCAGCATTTCAAACTATACCTTCAACTAAACAGCAGTTGAAGCACCTGCTGTGTGTAATCCACTGTAAAGATGGCATGTGAAAAAGTGTGGAGTCTGGCCACACCCTCTCTAGATGTTTATGACCCAGTAGTCAAGGGAAGATGTAAACACAGAAAAGGTTAGGGGAAGTTATATAAAGATCAGTTGTTTGGAGAATAAGTCCTGAAGCAGTAGTTTCCCACTCCTTAAGTGGGACATCAGAGAATTCCATTTCCATACGAAGTAATGGTCTTCGTATCCCTCCAACGGAGAAAATGTATAAATTCAATTATTTCAAAGAATTTTCTGCAGTATTCTGATAATCACAATACATGTATATGTAGCAATACCTGTATATGCAAGGCACGTGATCTACTCAGTCTTTTGTGCACCTACAGGTTGCAGAGGTTGCTTGCAGTGCTTCAGAAGCCCTCGCCCCAGGTGCTGCAGCCCACAGCTTAAGAGCCATCACCTTACTGTAATTCAGAGGAGGAAAAGGCCTTTGTTTCTAGGAGGAATACCCAGAAAAAAGTGCAACCATGGGACATCTGAGTGGGAGAGAGGGGCATTCTATCCAGGCAAAGAGCATGCGGGAAAGTCTGGAGATAATACTACACAAGTTATATATATAGGGCTGGGGATTTGGCTCAGCGGCACAGCGTCTGCCCGGCAAGCGTGAGGTCTTGAGTTCGATTCCTGGTACTGGAAGAAAAACAAACAACAAAAAAACCCAAGTTATATGTATAATTAAAGTATAGCCACTGTGCACAAGGCACTTCTCACGTGTGTTCCCCCAGTGGTGTATCACGTGAAGCTGAGATATTTAGTGACCTGTGCAGAGCCACCCGCTAGTAAATGACATACCTGGTTTCCCCGCTCAGATTTGCCCCACTCCAAAGCTCTACTCTCTGCACTGCCAGCTTCTCAAGTGTGATCAGACCCTTATGGCTCCAGCTGGAGAATAATATAAATGAGAAGAGGGTGATGCATGGTGAAATAGCCTAGGCCTATGCAGGTCCTTGAATGCAAGACAAAAAGATTTGACAGTGAAAATCCATAATCTATTCTTTAGCCATACCATGTTCTTGAGCAGGAGCGATGAGGAGAAAATAGTTTTATGAACATTAATCTGATGAGAACAGGGTAATGGAGGTGGGTAACGGGGTAGGTAGGAGTGGTGTTTTAGACTTAGGAAAGAGGTCCTTTACAAGCCAGATCGCATGTGAAAAAGACTTGAATAAGGGAGGAAGTAATAAAAAGGGAAAAAAAAAGAATGGGTTTTTAAGATTAAAAAAGTTACAGAAACTGGTGACTGATTAGATGAAAGGGGGAGGGAAGTCACCAAACTAGTTGTTGTGTTTCTCTTCTAGGATCCGTGTCTCACCAGGGTGGGGGAAAAGGCCAAAGAGAGAAGCCCACGAGGAACATTTCTGACCTGCACAGAAACTTCTCTGGAGAATTTTCAGAGTCTGAGACTCACCTCACTCGGGCCATTTCACATGGACCGACATGGATCTGTGGCACTCAGGCCCCTGCATTCTCTGTTGGGCCCCACACAGGAAGCCCTTTAAAGTTCCGTTGAAGTTGATCTGCCAAAGCCAGTGAGATTCTCCATGCTGGTGACTGAACCTGAGCCTGGAGCTCAGGCAGAAGGGCAATGGATGGAAGCCAGCCTGTTTCCATTTATCCCACCTGCCATGGGATGACTGTTTGTAGTCCCCGCCTGCAAGTTCACATTGTAAAATCCTAATGCCCAAAGTGAAGATATGAGTCCTGAGCAGGTTTCCTGAGGACAGAAGCCTCAGGAAGAGGGTGGGTGGATAGGCCCAAAGGAGCTCTTTTGCCTCTTTGCTCAGGGGCAAAAGTTAGAATTCAGGACACAGTTAGAATTCATCGTGTGTGAAACAGCAACCCTCACCAGACACCAAATTGTTGATCACAGAACTGTCAGCCTCCAGAACCAGGAGAAATATCTGTTGTTCGTAAGCCATTTAATTTAAGATACTTTGCTGTATCTGCCTGGACAGACTGACACCTTTCCTGCGCTTTCCTTAGCTTTTATTGTGGGGCAGAGCATAACACAATTTGCCCAGGACACACAGGACTGGTAAATTGGATTGAAATGAGGAAGGGAGTTTATCTGGAGATCAGAAGGTTGTCAACTTGCTCAGTGCAGAATGAGAGGTAGACCAGAAGCCCTCCCTTGAAGACAAAGGTGTCCCTGGAGCCAGAAGTGATGTCACAAACACTGCTGAGCTTTCCTCCCTGCCCCTACCTGTCTCCTCATTGCCACACAGACTCCCCACCCAGCCAGCTCCTGCAGAGCTGCACACCCTTAGATACATAGGCAGGACAGAATCAGACACCACCCAGGCACTCCTCGGTAACAGAAGTGGTCGGGAAGGGGGAACTAGTCAGTATGTGAGCTCAACACTAGGATCCCTGGTGCTGGGAAGGGGTTACATGCTGTAGCTCCAGCCGATGGAACGGAGTGAAGGAAGGAAGGGAGAGAGCAACAGTAAGAAAGAAATTGTTCCTGTGTCTGGCTTTGTCTAACCCACCCCCATCCCCTCACCCTCAGGCTCTCCCCGATTCCAGCTGACCATGGCATCAGAAGCAGAGAAAACATTCCATCGATTTGCTGCCTTCGGGGACTCGGCCAGCAGTGGCGCTGAGATAAACAACAAGAACTTCTCCAAGCTGTGTAAAGACTGTGACATCATGGACGGCAAGGCAGTCACCTCAAATTCTGTGGACATCGTGTTCAGCAAAGTGAAGTAAGGCCTCTGGGGGTTTGGGGGCAGCAAAGGTTCCTGTGTGGAGCAACTGCAGAGCGCCTTCCAAGCACCTGTGGATGCCTGGCTCTTGCTCTCTCTGTCCTAGAGACTTTCCATAATAGGATAGATGAGACCACATCAGAGAAAGGGAAAGGTCTGACCTCGGGAAACAATGATTCAAATTCTTGTATTTCTAAATGGCCAGGGCCAAAAATGCCCGAACCATCACATTTCAGCAATTCCAAGAAGCAATGAAGGAACTAGGCCAGATGCGGTTCAAGGGGAAGAACCCAGATGAAGCCCTGCAGGAAATTTTTAAACTCATGGAGGGCAAGGAACCAGCCACCACTGGTGTCACTGTGAGTGCAGTTCTTCACCCTGCTCTTGACCCCACTTCTCCAAGTCCCTGCTGCCCCATCAGCCCTTCCTCCAATGTCACAAACCCCACCAACAGTGGAACTGCAGGAGCTGGGGCAGAAGGCCTGTGGTGCACCATAGGTGCCAGAGCGGACTTAGAGACCACGTGGTCACCCAGAAGAGATGAAACCATAGCCCCGAGAGGGGCAGTCACTTGTCCAAGATGCAGAGCAGTTTGAGGAGGCTGTGCCAAGATGCACCCCTGGCTGCAGTGTAGCTATTTTAATAGAATTTAAACTCATTCCCAAGTCTCCAGTGTCTGAGCCAGGTGTGTAGGGCTTGGTGAGTGTGGGGTGACATCAGCGTAGGAGACTTGGTACCTAATCCCCAGTCCTCCTCTGCTCCTTAAGTTTAACCTAAGACCTCCTGCCTCTCACCCATCCTCCGCATAACTGCCCCATCATACAAAAAGGTCTTTCTATTCTGCACGTTGGGTTTGGGTGGGAAATCCTCTGGCAGCAGTGTAGAGGCATCCGCCCTCCCTCCCCACACATGGCACATGTTCCCACTCAGGATTTGCTAGAGCTGCTCATCCGGCCCCAGGGAAGCAGCACCAGGCTGAGGCAGAGGAGGGCCTCCAGGTCCTTGTTCTGAGGGCCTAAGGCCATCTTTGGGGAAGGGATAAAAGGGCTTGAGCCTGTCCTCTGGCTTGCAGAAACCAACAACAGCGGGTGCAGTGGACCGCCTGACGGACACCAGTAAGTACACGGGCAGCCACAAGGAGCGCTTTGACGAGAGCGGCAAGGGCAAGGGCATCGCGGGACGGGAAGACAAGGCTGACAGCTCGGGCTACGTGAGCGGCTACAAGGGTGCTGGCACCTATGATAAGAAGAGCAGCAAGTAGGCAGGAGCTGTGTCTTCGCCCGCTAATCTCCTGCCACCAAGGGCATGAGGCAACAATAAACATCTGTGTGTGCAACAGTTAATGAGTTTGGTCTGAGGAGAGCAGGGAGAAAGTGGATCCTTGGTAGAAGGGGAGAAGAGAAAGCCTGAAGAGTCAGCTATGTACCCGTGACCTTGCTTAATTAACCTCGTGCTTACCAGTCAAGGGTAGCATTTCCCTAAGAGCACATCTGAGGAACATATTTGGAAATAAGAGATGAACCAGATGTAGAGGTAAGCCAGCATGGTGGCACATGCCTATAATCCCAGTATTCAGGAGACTGAGGCAGGAGGATCCCCTTGAGTTCCATGGCAGCCTGGGAACTCACTACATAGTGAGTTCAAGACTAATCTGAACTACATAGTGAGACCCTGTCTCAAAAAACCAAATCAGATGTGGAGGCACATCATTGACTTCCAGTTCTCCTGCCTCCCAAAGTAGAGTAGCAATCTATCTATCTATCTTTCTTTCTTTCGTTGTTTTTTTTTTTTTTTTGACAGGGTCTCACTCACTATGTAGTACAGGCTGGTCTTGAACTCCAAGCAATCCTACTGCATGTGCCACCATGCCCAGCAGCAATTTCTGATTTGACATATTGTGACCCAGATAGCACATTTAGATCCTTTCCTGTGCCTTGACTGTCCGCATCTGCTGCAGTTCTGGCTTTGCTGTGGAAGAAGTGGAAGTCAGGCTGGGTAGCCGGGCTCCTATTACACCTTTGTTCTTGTTCTAGAGTGAGGGAGGGGGCCTCAATCCATTTTCAATCCCCAGCCCAGAACTGCATTGTACCCACTCCATCTCCATTACGTTACCTGTGGAACAGAAGACCTCTGTGACAGCTGAGGTCTGCCGGGGGAAATCAGAATAAAAATAAGGAATTAAACTGGGCCTGGTGGCCCAGGAGGATCACCGTGAGTTCAAGGCTAGCCTGGGCTACATAGTGGATTCAAGGCCAGTTTGAACTACATAGTAAAACCCTGTCTACAAACAAACAAACAAACAAGGAATTAGAACTGAACTGAGTCAAATGTATTTTTAACTTTTTATTTTGAAATGATTACAGATTCACAAAAAGTTGTTAAAAAAAAATAGTAGAGCAGTGTTACCCTTCCCCCAGTTTGCCCTAATGGTTCTATGCTTTTTTGTTTTGTTTTTGTTTTTTTTTTTTGAGGCAGTTGAGACAGGGTCTAGCTAAGTTGCTAAATTGCCCAGAAACGTTCAGTCTTCCTGCCTCAGCCTCCCAGGGTTCTGAGATTTTAGGCATATACCACCATGCTTGGCACAATAACTCTATCTTAACTGAGGTATGGTTTTTAAAGTTTATATAAGTGGGGGTGGGGAAATAGCTCAGTAGTAGAGCACTTGTCCACCTTGTGTGACACCTTAGGTTTGATCCCCAGCACCACCAAAAAATCTTCACATGGCTGGAGCTAGGCCTACCTTATCCACAGCTTTGTCAGTGGCAGACCTTGGAGTTTGGACAATTTTGGGAGGATCTCCTAGAAGGAAAGGGATGCAGGAACCTTGGTGGGAGTGGGAGAGAGAAGATAACTTCCAGTTGGCCCAGGTGAAAAGGACTGCAGGAAGAGCCTGGAAAAAGAAGGCAGGTGCCCAAGCAGTTGTAAGTGTGGGTGAGAGCATTGGCTCCATGGTAGGGGGTGAGGAAATGACAGGTGACATGAACAGGGAAAAATATGCTGGAGACTGAGGGGCTGTAGGGGAGGCTGAAGTGGGTCTGAGGCCCTCGGAGGCTCCTGTAGCTGCAGATACTCCTGTGTGGGGTTGTGAGTGGAGGAAGGGGAAGTAGGGAGGGAAGTGGGCGAGATGGAGATGAGAAGCATGGGGGTGGTACCGGAGCTGGACGCCTGTTGCTATGGTGTGAGCTGGAGGCCTGGGCCTCCATCCAGGAGTCAGGATCTGGCCCAGCGCAGCAACAGGCACTGCCAAGTGGACACAGCCAGCTTCTTGGGTGGGTTTTACTGTCACTGGGAGAGGGACAGTGGGAGTGGTGGGGGTGGTGAACTGGTAAACAAATTGGAAAGGACACAGAAGACAGTACAGCTTTCCAATGGCCAAAGCCCTGGGCATTTTCCTACCTGCCTAGTCTCTGGGCCCTGCTTACTTGGAAGTCAGGGAGGAAGGCTTATTGCAGGAATCAAGAGTTTCAGAAATGGGAACAAGGTAGGGATAGTTTGGAAATTAAAATTTGTCATAGACACTGATGATACCTATTGGGTCACCTTTATATCTGTGGGAGCAGAGCAGATAGAGCCTTTGATCAGACATGTAGGTGTTGTAGAAGCAGCTGGTGGATGGCTGTTCAGATGCCAGGACGCAGACTGTGAGAGAAAGGGCCCTCTGAGTAAGTGTGCAGTATGCATTATAGACATCACAGTAGTAGTCAGTATAATTGCAGAGTTGCCGGACTTCCTTCCAGGGGGAATGTAGCACATAATGGATCTTTGGGCAAAACCAGTCTTGCCTTCTGCCCCTCACATAGGCCATAAATCCGTTACAGTAGCCCTGGAAACCCTCTGAGAACTCAGACTTGGGTTGGTCAATGTGTAACTTGCGGAAGTCTACGGCGTCAGGATGCATCTTGAAGTCTATGACCAGAGCTGGCCCTAGAACAAGCTGCAGGAAGAGGAGCTGGGCCACCACAGGTGCCATTCCTCCTGCTGGCAGAGTTAAGGTAGCTGGAGTCAGGGTGGGCCCCAGGTGGCTGTATGCCACCCCAGAGCCCACAGCATTTCTCAACCTTCCCCATGTGCCCTCCTTACCATCGAGAGTTGGCCAATCCCTCAGACTCATCCCTCAAGTCCTTACACCCCAGAGAAAGAAGGCCCCTGTCCAAAGCCACCCAGATCGATCAGCCACCCACAGCCATCCCCATCCCTGGTCCGCTGTGGCGTCTCAATCTCACCCAGTCCGTGAGCTGCAACACTTGCAGAATAAGAAATCCAGCTGGTCCTCGGGTGAGAGACACTTCCCAGTTGTCTACCCCAACACCCTTTCTGGTAAAGAAAAAAAAGGTAGAAAAAAATAGAAGGAACAGGCTGAGGTGACAATTCTCAGGCCGCTCTGGAAGCTCTGGAAAGCCCAGAGCTGAAGACAGCGCGGTGGGGGCAGGGATGCTTCTTGCCTGAGGCAAACAACGGCCTAGCCTTGAGTGGCACTGAAGGTTTCTGGGCAAAGACTAGTCTGGGAGGAAGAAGTGTCCCCTGAACTTGAGCAGCCCCTATGCTGAGGGGGTTGGATAGGTGGGAGGAAAGAGACATTGCTGTCTGATCTTCTCCTCTCTGGTGTCTTTAGAACACTTAGTTCCAACTCACTTGCCAAAAATCCCTAAGTCCCTGGGCTTTCTTTGATGTTTGCTCTGGCGCATCAGCCCTGCTCCCACAGCAAGGTGGGAAAAAAATGCTGTCAGGTTTCTGAAGAACTAGGTGTTTCTTATTCCTGACCCTCAGAGAACAGAGGCTGCACCACTCACAGGAGCTCAGGAGGCCGTGTGTGTGCATAGGGGCCTCCCACCAAAGTGCCAGGCCGAGGCCAGGTGTGTTGGCACACACCCAGCACTCAGAAGCCAGAGGCAGGAAGATTGCTGGGAGTTCCAGGCCAGCCTGGGCTGGATAGTGAGCTCAAGGCCTGCCTGAACTGCATAGCCAGACCCCGTCTCAAAACACCAAACAAACAAAACAAAAAGTACAAGGCTGAGACTCAAGGACCCTCATGGCCTCTATTAACAATCTTGCTCCTGTCACATCACTGTTCCTCACCTGTGACGCGGGCCCTGGCAGTCAGCACTCCTGGCAGTCTGTGCGCACTCACTCAGGCTTAGCAACTGGACCCACTGTATAACCTTGACATGAGGGACCTGACCTTCAGCCTGAGCCTGCCCTGATCAGACTCCCATGGTTAGCTAGTCTTTGGGTAATTTGCCATGCTGGCGAGAGAGCCAGGCTCCTGGTTCTCTTCTTCTTCCAACTATGAACTATCTGCTCCTTCAGCAGAGCCAGAGCCAGCTCCCGTCCTTGGCTTCCGTGAGCCTCGCAGCCCTGTCTCATGTCGCAGTGCTCTCTACATTTTGGGCTGTTAAAAGTGCCTTTTAACCTCCACCTGCAGGACAGGGAGTCCAAAGGCAGAAAGAACAGTGGAGTTCCCTGTTTGGCCCCTCATCCACAGCACCCCTACATTGGCTTTTCTGACAGTACAAGCTATAGTCCAAAAATGAATCCATAAAAAAAAGAAAAACCCATCCTCTTCACAACTTCTCCTCCTGTACTGCCTGTCTCAGTCTCTTTGGTGTTATGGTTTAGATCTAAAATATCTTCCCAAGCCCTCACATGTTCAGAGGTGGAGTACTTGAAAGGTGTTTGGGCTCTGAGATCATTGTGCACATCAGTGGATTCATTTGTTGCCGGGTTGCTGGGTGCGTGTGCCCGGTTGGGGCTTGGTTGGAGCCGGGTCACCGTGAGTGGGGGATGACTCGGAAGCATCTGTGCCCGTTCTTGTCCCAGGTCCCTCCCTTTTCTCTCTATTTCCTGGCAGCTGTGAGTGAGCAGCTCTCCTCCACCCTGCCCCTCATCATGCTGTTTCTGCCTTGGGCCAGCTCACCATGGACTGAATCCTCCCAAATCATGAGCAAATTAAATCTTCTTTAAGCTGTGGGTGTTGGGTGAGTATCATGTCCCAGTGATGAGAAAGTGGACAGATACACTCAGTTACCTGTACCCAAAACCTGAGAGTGAGTCTAAGTTCTTCCATGCCCTTGACCCCTATTGCAAGAGTCAGGACTGCCTGGTCGATAAGATCCAGGCTTTTGAGTGAAATAGACCAGAAACTGAATCCTAGCTTTGTAGCATCCGTGCTGTGGGTCATCCATCTAAGTTCACTAAGCCACCATACATTTCACTTCTCTGTCCTCTCAGGAGGACAGTGTTTTATGTGTCGTGGCAGTGTCCACAGTCGTCAAGGTGTGTATCAAGAGCGGCGAGCCCAGTGCCTCACCTATGGTGAGTACGCAGTTCATGACTATGAACCCTCTGCCACGAAGCCCCGACAGTCTTCACTGAAACTTTCTCAGATGCATCCCTCCCATTCCTGTTTCTTCTGCTCAGGCCCTCCTCTGTCCTGGACACACCTACTCCCCAACTTCAGGGATGCCCAATGCAAATATATCTTTCCTGCAAGTGTCAGACTAAAAATGTAGTCTCTTCTGTGGCCCAATATTCCGTAGCAGCCCCAGCCCACCTCCACGCCCTTACTCCTACTGTCCCCTCTACCCGTAATGTGGCCAACCCCCTCCCTCTCCCTCCATCAGTCCCACAGGCCCCATTTCAGAAGTCCAGGCTTGGAATGACCTCCCCTGGGAACTGCACACCCAAGCAAGGGAGGACAAAGCCCACGGGAGCAGGCGGCTCATCCGTTCTCTCAGGCTGCTCGACGATACAACACAAGTGGGAGCCGTGCAAGCCTGTGCCTGAACCTGGCTGACTGAGGCCTTTTGAGGAAGCCACACACAGAGGCTATGGCCCTGCCTGGAGTTGTGCTGCCTCAACCCCCAAGGCTGCACTTCCCTGAGAGGAGAAAGAGGCTTTCTGCACCTCTTGGTCTTCCTCGTTCTTCATTGCCTGCCCACATTACCACTCTCCAGCGGCCACCACCCACCTCTGCCTTCAGGATTACAGAACCTGAAGATACATGACGGAGCTCAGGACTTCGCACTGCGTGACCCGCTGCCCTTCTGTTTCCCCTCCTTCAGGTGGGATAGGACCCTCCTTACCTCCTGCAGCTGCATGCATAAAATCAGACGGCAGATGCGAAAGTGCTTTTTCATTATTAAATAATATGTAAGTGGATAACTAGCTGGACGCAGTCTCCTAAATTCTGCACTAACTCACTTTTGACATTTGCAAAGCCTCATTTAGTCTCTAAACAATCCTGGTGGTGGCACCCCCAACCCCAACCTCATGCCTGCTCCACCCATCCAGAGCACTTCCGAACTTCTGACCTAGAATTCATCTCCTAAGCTTTTGACTACACTGAGATAATTTTAAAAGTAGCCAGGTATCTGAAAGTCACACTGAAAAATGTGGGTTATATCCGTAATTCAGTGGGAAAGTTATACATAAAGATACATGTTACAAAGTCACAGGCACAGGTCCAGGGGTGATGCTGAGTGCAGAGAGGTACTGATACATGGAATCGCTTCACCCATTCTGACATCCTGCTCGTGGTTTTATATGCTCCCTAAGCCTGAGATTTGTGGACTTGCTCCCCATTACTCTGGGCTTTGCATATACAAGAACCACCCTAAAAACAACAAAACTAAGTTCTGGAGAGATGGTAGCTTGCCCCAGGTCCTGTGTGAAATTCAGTGGTTCTCAACCAGGAGCAACTGGGCAACGTCTGGAGAGCACTTGTGTGTCGTAGCTGGAAGTTGCTACTGGCACAAGGCCAGGGACAGTGTTAAAAACCCTACACTGCACTAGGAGCTCCACAACAAAGAACTGTCCAGCCCAAGATATAAATAATGCTGAGATTGAGAAGTCCTGGTCTGATTAATGAGATAGTCAAACTTCCTTACAAGAGAGACTGACTTGTATCTCATGTTTTTGTTTTTGTTATGGTACTAGGAATTCATGTGCAGTGTCTCCATATGCTAGGCAAGCACTCTATCCCTGATCCGTATCTCCATTCCTTTTTATTTTGAGACAAGGCCTGGATAAGTTACCCAGACTAGCCTCAAACTTGCCTTCCTTCTGCCTCAGCCTCCCAAGTAGCTGGTATTTCAGGCATGCACTACCACGATGGTTTAAGTTATGCATTTGAAAGTGCTGGTATGAAAAAAAGAAAAAAAAAAGAAAGTGTTGGTAAACATACAAAACCTGGAAGTGTTTTTTGTTAAACCAATTTTTATTGTAATGGTGCTGGTTCTTCTGCCATCAAAAGGAGTACCGATAGTTCAACACTGATATAATAAGTTTGATTTATTTTTCATACAAGAGGACCCTCTGAGCTGGGCATGGTGGTACACACCTGTAATCTCGGTACTCTAGGAGGCCGAAGCAGGACAATCACAGTCCTGTCAAGCATAGTTTTGACAACTTATTGAGACCTTGTCTCAAAATAAAAAAAATAAAAGGGCTGGGGCTATTGCTCAGTGAGAAGGCCCTGGATCCAATCTCCATTAGCTCCCCCCATAAAAAAGAAGACTTTCTGCCTGTAAATCTCAGTACATTTTGTCCCTCCCTCTATGACAGTAAGCATCTGTAGAACACTGGCTAGACACAAGCGCAGGGGTGATTTCCTACAATTCCAGGGAACTCCCAAGGTTCTGCCCAGGGGGCTCAGCATGATTTCTTGAGCTTGCTTTTTGCCCCGTCCAACTCAAGTCGATCAAACGTTCCACCTGGTCACAGACAGTCCTAGGCTGTCCTTAAACCCAAGGGACGGCTTGAGCCTTTGCAGCCTTTTTGTTCCATCCTGCTCCTGTTCGAGATACAAAAGGAGTGTGACAGGGGCTTCCAGCCTTCTATGAGCTGACAGTCTTAGCTGGAGGGAAAAAATCAATATATCTGAAAAAATAATAGTTCAAAGCAGAAAATAATATTTCTGGAAGACAGTAAATGTTATAGGAAGATACAGGCGAGAAAGTTCTCTCTGAATTGAGAGGGTCAGGGAAAATTCCCTGGGGGAGAGGGGTGCTCATTCTGGGGCCTCTGGATGAGCCTCTTGGGGCAGTTGGGAGAGGAGACAGAGGATTATGATAGTCTGTTTGAGGAAAGGGAGAAACCAGGCTAGCCGTTTCCGAGGTGCTAAGTGGGATAAGATCAAAGACAAAGGCAGAAAGATGGTTTAGCTAGATGGCCGCAGCCTGGGCCTCCGGCTAAGGAACCTGTGCTCCACTCAGTCCATAGCGAGTGTGGAAAGCTGGCAAGGGCTTCTGAGACAGGGTGACCTGGCGAAGCCTCTCACCCCACACCAGGCCCTTCTCCCCTGCATCCCAGCTTGGGAGCCAAGGATTCCAGCTTTCTGTTTTGGAGTTGGCCTCCTCCAAACCCGCAGCTGTTCCAGGAAAGGTCATGGGAATTCAAAGGCCTGAATCGAAGCCCGTGTCTGACCCAAACTTGCTGTGTGTTTCACTTTCCCCACATGCAGAAACGGGCCCATTACCCTTGTTTACGCAAGGATCAACAAAATTAGGATAACAGAACTTGGATCTGCTCCTGCTCTGAGGAAAATTCACTCTCTCCTGGGTTTTTGCTGGTATCCGGAGGCTGTGCGGAACTCCGGAAGAGAGAGCCAGGCAGGGAGCCAGGCCAGGCTCCTCCCTCCTCTCCCTCCCGGCCAGAGGAAGCCGCAGCTGTTGTCCTGCGGGGAACACCGGCAGAGGTCCACCTGGCACTGCGGGGATGTACACACACACACACGCACACACACACCGCACACACACCGCACACACACCGCACACACACACACACACACACACACACACACACACACACGCACGCACGGGGCTGATGCGAGTGTGGCAGCAGAGGAGGAAGGAAGCCTGGTGGAGGTTGGGCTGCCTCGCCTCGTGTCCTCTCTCCCACCATTTTGCCTCTGCTTTCCTTTTCTCGGTCTTCCTTCTCCTGCTGCAAGGCTGCCTGACCAGTCCTCCGTCTGAGGTCTGCCTCCTCCTGTTCTCCCTGGCCCTGATTCCTTCCTCCATCTTTTCCTTTTGCCCACAAGTGGAGTGAGGGGAAAAGAGTAAAATCCTACCAAGCACAAAGACAAGCAGCTCATGTGGAGAGTTCAGGCAAATAAACACAATTACGTTCCTTACCCAGATAATTGTGGCCAGAGGTTTGAGCCTGAATTGCACAGATGGTAGGTTCAACTCTGCCACTTCAGTTTTCATATGCAAACCTCAACTTTCTTTCCCTTTCCCACTGACCTGAGACAGCAAGGCCTTGTTTATTTCATCTGCACACAGCACTAAGCAGCCTTCTGGAGCGTCTAGCATAACGAAGTTGCAGGGCAAAGCAGGATAATTATAAGGAGAGGAAAACACAAGCGCAGGGGGCAGTTCAGTTCGTGATTTGGAAAGACCTCACTCCGGGAGAATGGGAACTGGACAGAGCCTGGGCTGGGAATTCAAATGAGCCCTGGAAGCCTCCTACCCCTCCTCCCAACACAGCCTCCACCCGGGGGGTGGAGGGTGAGAAGGGGCTCCTCTCGCCTGAGTTGATCTGCTTTAAAATGTGGATTTTATCCACAAGCCTGAGGGTTTCCACAGCAGCAGGGTAATAGTTCTCCGTCTAGAAGGTCCGCCTTTAAAGGTAAGCACCTTAACAAAGAAATAAAGGGCAGCCCCCACGGTCAGGGCCTCTCCAGGGACAGCCCCAGAGCCTGAGGCCTGAACCACCTTCTTCTTGATTCTCTTTTGCCATCTAGTGGTGTTTCCCATCTACAACACTACCGTTCCTTCCAGAAGCCGCCCTCACCCACACCTGCTCTCCCTCCGCAAACACCATCTCCCTCTGGCCTCACAACAAACACCCCATCAACTACCTCACGCAAAGCCTGACCTCCAAGGGCAGCACACAAACCTTGTGATCAGGAAGGTTACAATCCACAGGGCGGCTAGGTTGAAACAGACAGGTCCATTACGCCTCTGCTCAGAGTAAAAGCCACAGTCCTCTGTCTGTCTCTCTGTGTCCTCTCCCCTCCTCTCTTCTCCTCTCCTCTCTTCTTTTCTTCTCCTCCCTTCCTCTCCTCCCTCTCTCCCTCTTTCTCTAGTGCGGATTGAACCCAGGGCCTTTGGACTAAGCTACATCTTCTTTTTTATTTTTAAGACAAGCTCTTGCTAAATCACTAAGTTGGGCTCAGACTTGGAATCCTCCTGAATTGGCCTCCCAGAACCCTGGGATGACAGGTGTGCACCACCATGCCAGGGCACCACAGCCCTTCTAAAAGTCCTACTGCTTCTGTGGCTCAATTTCTGATCCCTGTCTGAACCACTCCTTCACTTTCTGGTCACCTTCCTGCTCCAGCACCCAGGGCATCTGGAGCTTTAGAGCCTTTACAGTGTTGTTCTCAGGCCTGGAACATTCCTCCTCCAGACAAGTAGAAGTTCACTGTTTCTTCTTCAAGTCTCTATTTCTGCCCTCAATGATCCTACCTTTTTTTTTTTTTAAAGACAAGGTCTCACTGTGTATTTCAGGCTGGCCTTGAACTCGCTATGCAGCCCAGCCTGTCCCAAAACTCAGGTTGAGCCTCCTGCCTCAGCCTCCCAAGTGCTAGGATTACAGGTATGCACCACTATGCCAGGTGACCCTACTTAAAAATTACTGCCCACCAACCTCTATCCTATCTTTTTCTTTAGCAATTATCACTTTAGGCAAAATATATCTATATTTACTGTCTTTCCCCCATGGAATATAAACTCTACAAAGGTAGAGATTTATGTCTCTTGATTCACAGATATATCCCAAGTACACCAGCATATAGTAGGTGCTTAATTAATATTTGTTGAACCTGAGATTCTGAGTTCACGTACTACTTATAGGTGAATTTTAAATACAAAAATAACACCTCTGTTTCTAATTTACACAGTGATGTTTCTCTGCCTGAGTTTGTCAGTTTGCCCACATATCATACTCCAACCTCACAGGGGCCCCCAGAGCACTGCCCCAGGCTGTCACCACGATGAGAAGCAGGTGAAGGGAGGCTGGGCAGGGTGTTAAGAGGACACCACCAACAGTGTTTCAAACGTGCAGTTACACAATGGTCCAGTTTTACAACTTCCGTAGAGTAGGGAGGGAAGAGTTGGAATGAGATGTGTTGGGCGCTTTTCCTGGTAGGACCAGGTGCAGGTGACCCTCCTCGGCACCTGAAGCTGGAGAGCCCAGAGAGACAAATCATCTTGGAACAGCTGGGCTGTTGGGGATGGTACTGGGCATCGTGACTGTGATGATTCATCCTCTTCCCTTGTCTCCTCCATCTCCGCCAAAAGATAAGCAGTACACCTCAACGACAGAAAACTCCACACATTCATTTTCTAGGCTGTTCTGTCCATACATCTTGTTAGAGAAAAAGTAATCCTCAAAACCACAGTGATTGGCTGTTCTTAAATATCAGAGGTGTATTTAGGAGGAGAACAATGACAGCTCCCCCTGAAGTTCATCTGGGTTGACCCCTGGGTCGGGTGCTTTACTAAAAGCCATTAAAAGCATGTGAACGGGGCCCACATGCAGTGAGGCCTGAATGTGAGGGTCCAAGCTTCCTCATTGCTGAACACCTTTAGGCAGTTGACTGGCTCCATAGGCATCCGCTTACTGGGGCCATGTAGGTGGAGAGGCGTGGGCCTGATTCATTTCCTGATAGAAACAGCATGGCCCAGGCCAGCCCTTAAGGAGTCAGGCAGCGAGCAGAGGCCTTTAGAGATCTGACGGCTCAGCAAGGGTGGCTACATCTTCAGTCCCCTAAACGGGAGTCACAGCGTGAAGACTAAACAAGAAGGTGAGGCTTGCGGCAAGATACGCTGAGGGGAAAGAGTAGAGGATAGGATGGGTTCTGACCATCTGTACAGTCGGATGAGTAGGAAGGCAAAAGAGGGCCTCGATCTAGGGGGACAGCACACCAGGGGAAGGACAGCATCCAGAGAGCACAGTGGCATTGAGGATGGAGATACAAAACGAGAACAAAGCTGGGACACGGAAAATGAGCACAGGGGTATGAGGCATAAGCACAGGGACAAGGGACGGGGAGGAGACAGAATGGCAAGAGATGGGATATAAGGTCAGGACAACGGGGTCACAGTAGACGTGGGCATGGAGGGAGAGGAGATGAGACACCAAGCGAGGGAGGCGGGAGGTAGTAGGGTGGGGAGAGCATGATTAGCCCTGATGAGCAGGTGTATAAAGGCAGTTTCTCAACTAAACACCTGCACTATCTGCCCCCAGTAACCCCATCCCTCCTTCCTGACCACCGTCCCTAAAACAGATGGCACGAGCAGGAGCAAGATGCTTCTCCCTGCTGCTCCTGCTGCTGGCGCTGTGGGTGGCAGAGCTCCCAGTCAGTGCCAAGCCCAAATGCATGACCCCAGCTCAGTGGTTTCAAACTCAGCACGTGCAGCCCAAACCTCAAGCCTGCAACTCGGCCATGGGCCACATCAGCCAGTACACAAAGCGCTGCAAACCCCTCAACACCTTCCTGCACACGTCCTTCTCCAGCGTGGCTGCCACCTGCCTGACCCCCAGCAAAACCTGCAAGAATGGCCAGAAAAACTGCCACCAGAGCCCAAAGCCTGTGTCCCTGACCGTGTGTAAGCACACCACAGGGCAGTACCCCAACTGCAGGTACAAAGAGACGCACCTCAACGCATCTTACATAGTGGCCTGTGACCCTCCCCAGAAAAAGGACTCTGGGGAATCCCACCTGCTTCCCGTGCACCTGGACGAAGTTATTTAGGTTTCCAGGCTCCCTTCTTCCTGGACTGCATCTCACTCCTCCTCCTGGCGTCTGCCTCCCTCCTCCTTCTCCACCCAGATGTACTCTTGCCTCATCTCTTGAACTCTTCCTGGTGCAGCTCTGTGGAGAGGCCAAGACGAAGCTGGTGCTGACACGGTAGGCTGAGCTCTAAAAAAAGACATTGTCTTTCACCATTTTGTTGCTGCTTCCCCCACGCGAAGCTCATCCCCCAGATTGGAGCCAAGCAAATGCAGAGCCTTGGCTTCCCCTGACGTGCTTCGAACACCTCTTCCCTGCCGCACTGCACCATAGCAGCATAGCAAGGGGAGGCCGTGAATGGAGAAGACGGTCGCAGAACGTAAGGCAGCCCTGACTCCATCCTAAAGCAGAGGTCTCCCCAGCCCTGATGTGATGAGGTAACCTGTGGGGGAGAGATGGCCAGAAGGAAGAAAAACCGAACAAAGAAATGCCACATCCTGTTGACAGAGCACTTGATGCTTTTCACAACACACCTACCGGCATCCTCTAATCTCCCAGGAGACAGATGTGACTGAGGTGACTTACCTTCTTCATGGCTGAGGAATTTGAGATTTCAGGAAGATCAGTCGGTTGCAGAGCCCACTAGCAGAATCTGGACTTGAAAATGAGTGGACTTAGTCTGCACACAGCACTACGCTACCAGCCGGGCAAGAAAGCGACCAGAGCCGGGACAAGAGAAGTAGGCAAGAGTTCACCCGGGAAGAAATACACCCCGGGGCTCATCAAGCCTGTCACACCATGTTGGCTGCAATAAAGGTCATTACCTCTCTAGCCAGGAAACTTTTTATGAGGTGTCTGGGGAACCTTAATTCATCCGCTCCCTTTCTAATTGCTCCTCCTTCTTCTCTAGCTGGCTACTCTTCTGGCCTGGGCCCTGGGCCTCTGTCTGGCTGGATCCCCTCGGCCTGAAGGCAGAGGGTGAGAGGCGTGTCCTAGGATCACATTTCCCTTGACCTTAAGGGACTTTCGTGGCCCAGAGGCTGCTTGTCACAAACAGACTGGTGGAGCTGCCACTGCTTCCTTCCTTGAGATAAGGATCACCCTGCCTCAGTGCTTCCCCGGCTGTCCGCACTGGCAGTGTGCCCAGGCCCCAGGGGCTGAGATGTGGAAAGGCCCTCTCTCTGTCCCCCTGGGCTGAAGACAGCACCTCTCCCTCTGGTGAGTAGAGCAGGAAAAGCTTCAGTATTTTATCTGCTGAATCCTGACAGCCCCTCTCTGTTGCCTGTAGCCCTGGTGTCACCCGCCCCTCCTCTCTTCCTTTATCTCAGTCTGAAATGACTTGAACTGCATCCCATGCCCACCCTACCTCCCACCCAAACATGTTAGACCTTCCCACACTTGTTGAAGGTGCGACTTGACTTGTCCCTCCCCTATCCCAGCACCTTCATTCCTAACCAGGGTCTGATAAGCTTTGGAGCCAGACAGAATTGAGTACAAATCCTGGCTCAGTCATTCCTCTCCGTGACTTTAAACAAATTACCGCCCCTTTCTGTAGGTCTGTTCCGCAAAGTAAAGTGGGAATAATGTTACCTACAGACAACATTACAGGAGATTTAGAAATGACATTTATGAAGCGCTGTCAGAAGCTCTGTCAGGGATGGCTCGTGCCATCTGTTTTAGGGACGGTGGTCAGGAAGGAGGGATGGGGTTACTGGGGCAGGGTGTTGTGGCATATGACTGTAATCCCAGCACTCTGGGAAGCTAAGGATCACAAATCCAAATCCAGCATGGGCAACCTAGCAATTTAATGAGACCCTCTCTTAAAATTAAAAATAAAAAGGGCTGGAATATAGCTTAACGCAAAGGCAATGGATCCAATTCCCAGTAAAAGAAGGAGAAGTTGAAAAAGAAGGCACAGCAACAGCAGTGGCTGCTAGTAGGTGTTGGATAATGGCCACCAGAATGGTGGTAGTAGCAACAGCTGCCTTTGACAAGCAGCAGACCAAGCAGACATCCAGCATAGCTCCTGGAGAGCTTGTTCTCCTACAGTAATGCTCATGAGTGGGCTGAAGGATAAACGGGCAGGCAAGGGTCCTGCTCTGTGAGACGGGGGTTTGAGAGGATAAAGGGAGAAGGGCAGAGAAAGGGTGATCAAAAGAAAGGCTGCAGGGGGCTGGGGATTTAGCTCAGCGGCAAAGCGCCTGCCTGGCAAGCGGAAGGTCGTGAGTTCGGTTCCTGGTACCGGAGAAAAACCCAAAAAAAAAAAAAAGAAAGGCGGCAGAACACTGGACAATTTGTACAGAGTGGGAGGCAAGTAAGTTGATGAGCTGCTAGTCAACTGAGTGCAAACAGCACCATTTCCTGAAAATAGAACATTTCCATCACGAAGTGGGCTTCTAGGATACTTACCCAAAGTTGTAATTTATTTTTGTGCTTCTGTGGTCACCATATTATATGTTTGCCTTCCTATAAATAGATGATTTTTAACTAAGGTGCATAGGAAAGAAGGTACTTGGGGACACCTGGGCTTTTCTTCACTTTATTCTGTCTTTTTTTCCAGTACAGGGAATCGAACTCACGACCTTGCACTTGCCCGGCAGGCGCCAGACTGCTGAGCTAAATCCCCAGCCCCTCACTTTATTCTTTCTAAAACACTTTGTATTTTATATTCTTTTTCTCTTTAATGCTTGGCTCTAACGCAGGACCTGACATATGTTAAACAGGTGCTCTACCACTAAACTACAAACGCAGCTGCTATTTGCTTTTTTCGTTGTTATTTTTTGTGGGTTGTTTTGCTTTGTTTTGTTTTTGAGACAAGGTCTCACTATGTAGTCTAGGGTGATCTTGAACTCACAGTGATCCTCCTGCCTCAGCCTCCTGAGTGCTGAGATTACTGGTGTGTGCCACCATACTCACCTGCTCTTTGTGTTCTTTATTGATGATTTTTCTTAGGTATATTATGGTTTTGGAGATACATCTTCTTCACAAAATCATAAAGTGGATAAAATCATGCTTTTAATGCATCCTCCAGAAATCAAATGACGTTCCAAATAGGAAATCTCTTCAAAGACTCATTACCTAAATCCTACTAAGTAAATAAAGAGTTCTAAAGTAGGAGTTGGGTAGAACACTTGCCCAACCTGCACAAGGCCCTGGGTTGGATCTCCAGCACTACAAAGAAAAAAAAAAAAAAAGCTCTCAAGTAATGAATTTGTGGCAATACAGGCTAAGAAAGTGGTAGCCTTGGAGAAGTATTCATGGGAAAAAGATGTGGGAAAGAAGGATAAACTCGAGGCTTTTATAGGCAAATGGTCACCACTAGAGACCGTACTCATAAATGAAATAAATCAAACATACATGTGCAAGCACCGCATTATTTCACTAGTGTAAATCTTGAAAGAGTTAATTTAAACTCGGAGGTATGATAGAAACTGTGAAATGATAGGAAACCACTCAAGAGTAAAGGGCAACTGGGATGTGGGAAAGGAGAAGGGAAAGAAGGAGAAATTTTGTATGTATGTATATACAGGATAGTTAACATGGTTGTTCCTCTGTCTTCTATTTCTATGCTGAAAGAAACTGTCAATGAGTCTTTGGTTGACCAGTATTGCATGTCTATATCTGTTTTCATGAGAAGCCACTTTGAAGATATCAATATGTAATACAACAACCATTGTTAAATCCCTACCACTTTGTTTGTAACTCTGTATTGTCTGTACTGTTCTTGTGATGTTGTAAAATGTTGTATGTCTGTTAATGTTGTCCTCCTTTTATTTTTAAAATAAATCCTTGATCTGTTAAAAAAAAAAAAAAGATGTGGGGACGTCTAAGAACCTGGAAATGCTCTGTTGTTCATGTAAATATATTTACTGTATGAAAACTCCTTGAACTGTACACTTAAGATTTATGTACTTTACTGCATGTTACCCTTCAATTTTAAAAAATCCTCAAAGATTATAGTGCCTAAGGATGATTTTGTTTACATGATAAATGCTAATATACCAATCAATTAAAAAAACATTATTGTATAGTTAAATCACAGATACAGTTACAGTATGTCTATTGTTTTGTCTTGTCCTATTTGTTAAATTAAATAAAATTGTAATTGTATGAAATTACAATTTCATAAATTACATAATTGTATTACATAATTGAATTACATAATTATATGTTAAATTACATAATTGTATGTTAAATTAAATAAAATTTAATTGTATGAAATTGTTATAAATATTTTGGGCTCAAACAAATAAGGTTCTTCCTAAGGTTATGTAGCTAACACAGTTCTTTTATTATTTATATTATTTGTCAATTAATTTTCCTATATTTAATGATGTGATAAATTTTAATAATCATTATATATGTTATTATAAGCTTTTACAGTCATTCATTTTATAATATTTTTCTTGTAATAATAAATATGTACTGTATTTTCAATGGCTGAGAGAATTTCAACATTTTTAAAGGTTCATAAGGAACATTTTCCCCCTAGTTATGTCTGGAATGCTCAACAATATTTAAAAGTGACTACATACTCTGATACTGACAATGAGTCCAAATGACCTGCCTTTGTTCATTACTAATATTTTAACTCATTCAATCTGAGTCACTCATTTCTTCAGATGAGCTTGATCACCGTCAACTCCCTGAAGCTCCCTGAAGCAATGCTGAGATAAAGCATTTGGCTCTCCAGCCTCCCCAGACTGAGGTTCAAGATGATAATTTTAGACAGACACCCTGGCTAGCTGAACCTGGGTGCATTCCTACATAAAAGCTAAAGAATGGGGGTGAAGGTGAAGAATTAAAGAAGGAGCTGGCTATGAAGGACTTTCGTTGCTTCATGGAGGGGAACGAGGACGTCCAGGGGACACTGTCCAGCCTTAGAGAGATTTAGAAAGAACTGTTTTGACCTGGATCTAAGGAGCAGAAGTCAAGGACACGTCTAGGGACCACACACACACCCAAGGTCACACACCTGTGATCCTCTACCTTCAACTAAGCCCCGCCTCTTCCCGTCACTTCCCAACAATGCTGCCAACTCGTGATCTCACTGAGGACGCAAAAGCCCTCACCAGCCGGTCACATCTTTAGTCCCCACGGCTGCGCTGGCTGTCAAACCCTCAATACTTGAGTCTTTTGGGGGTGCTTCATACGCAAACTGTAACATAGAGTTATGTCCTAGCAGTGTTACCTGGGTTAAATGTGCAAAGACATCTAAAGCACTTGGTACAGGGGCTGGCACATAGGGAAAGTTTAGAGGTGTTAACATTTATAGTTATTATTCTGATGTCAAATGCTGAGCGGTCAAACCTGTGTTGAGTGGAGCAGGCCTGACTTCCGTGGCAGAAGACAAAGAGCGGACACAAAGGAGGCCACACTCCTCTCCACTTGCCTTTTCCAGAAAAGCTCCTACTTAGGAGTAGATAAAGTAAGGTTCAAAGTTAGACAAAAATGACAACGTTCATTACTTTCTGTAGGTGAGAGAATTTTCAGGGGTAGCAGAAGTGCTTTTAACTGGAGGGGGAGAAGATACCAAGAATTTCTGTCACGATAATTTAAGGGGTGGTTGTGGTGGCACATGCCTATAATCCCAACACTCTGGAAGGTTGAGGCATAAGCTTTAGCCTGGCCTGGGAAATTCAGCAACTTAGTGACTCAGTGAGACCCTGTCTCAAAATAAAAAAATAAAAAAAGGACTGAGGATGTATCTTAGTACAAAGGCCCTGAGTTCTATCCCCAGTGCCAGAAAAACAACAACAAAGACAGTTTAAGGGAAGTTTTTTTATTTCTACCCTCCATGAATCCAAGAATCCAAAGATATAAAAAGAAGTTGGGGGATTTAGGGCAGCTAAGTTTTGAGAGTTCCTCCTATACCCCTCCCAGGAAAAAGATTCAATTGTCAAAGCAATTAATAGAAAGATGGCTCTAATGACATCTCCAACGTCCTTCTTGGAGATATGTAAACCCTATCCATTCACCTCATGGGAAGACACCTTCTATTTTTATTTCCTTCTGATTAGCTTCATTTTTTTCCTCTCTTTCTCTTTTTTTTCTCTCTTTCTTTTTATGGTTTTATTTTGTTGTTTCTTTGAGACAGGGTTTTGCTATGCAATTCAGGCTGGCCTTAAACTCACTATGTGCCCCAAGTTGGCCCTGAACTCACAGTGATCCGCCTGCCTCAGCCTCCCGAGTGCTGGCATTACAGGTGTGCACCACCACACCTGGCTCAGCTTCATTGTCTCATCCACCTTTCATTACTCAAAATCTCTACCAATCCCATGGCTCACAATTCTCACTGCTTTCAATGGTCTTTTTTTTTTTTTTTTTTGGACACGGTCTCCCTAGTTACTTCAAGCTGGCCTTGAGCTCACTTTGTAGCCCAGGCTGGCCTCAAACTTGCAGCGATCTTTCTGCCTCAACCTCCTGATTACTGGGACTACAGGTATGCACCACCATGTCCAGCTTCCAATGGATTAATAACAGGGAGAAGACATCATGGTCATTACTTTGCATGAGCATTTACATGGAAACGTAATTGAACGTACACACTTAAAACATAAACTGACTCTAGCAGCTGGACATGGTGGTGCACGCCTGTAATCTCAGCACTCGGGAGGCTGAGGCAGGAGGATTCTTGAGAGTTTGAGACCAGCCTGGGCTATAAAGTGAGCTCAAGGCCAGCCTGCACTGCATAGCGAGACCCTGTCTCAAAAAGATAAACTGACTCTAGTATGAATTAGTATAAATTCCTTCTTGAGCCACTAGCACTTGGCACAAGATGACACATTACATTTGCATTGTTTTAGAGTATTTGAGTAGTCATAAAATTATGATGGTGCAATATGTCTTATCCAGGGATCTCAAATTATGTGATCCTGCCTTCTTAATTTAGCAAATGAGAAAAATAAGACCCAGAGGATTTCAATGTATGCCGAGTTTACATGGCTAGTTCAGGCGAGAAATGAGAGTATTTGAACAATTCAGTGATGTTTCCAAACTGGCACTCTAATTAATGGTTCCAGGTGGATCTCAGGCATTTCATGATACATAGACAGGCAGGCAAATCAATCCACAAATAGGAAAATTCCTGGATTTGAGATGAGACAAGAATATTTTCATCCAAAAGTGTTCAGAGCCTATTGTGCTAGCATGTTTGTACTTCCGCCCTTCGCTGAAATTCTCATACTGTGCTGGTCAGGTGGGGAAACCACACTCAAGGACTCGACGGCCAACTGGCCAAGCATGTCCCTGACCACACCACTGGCTGCTGGAGACATCGTCAAGGACACGGAGCAAGAAAAGGCCTTCACCACCTCTGCTTTACAAGGGCGGGGAAAACATGGAAGCCACTTCTGGTGTCTCTCCGGGTGGGCCAGAGGCATCTTTACACTTTTTATCTTTGGTAAAGATT